TGTGGCATGGTTGGTTGTGGTGCTGCTGTTATTGGGGCCAACATTTTCATCAGCACCGGTACCGGGGATTTGAAGAGCACCGGAAAACGCGGCAGTATTATTATTATTTTGTTATGGATATATTTTTTTGTCCTTGTAACTTGATTATAACTTATTACTGTACTTGATTGTAACTTATTACTGTACTTGATTACTTTTATCTATCCGCTTAAGTTTTATTTTTCAGTTGCAATAATTTTCATATTTATGGACAGGCGCTTGACTTTTAAAAATTAAATTTTTATTAAAAATTTTTAAGTATGTATCCCACACTTAAAAATAAAATAAAATTTCAGATGATTATCAAAATTTAAATCTTACTCAATAGCACTTAATAATGAATTGATGCTTTGAGTTAAAACTAATATTTTTTAAAAAAATTATACAGTTATTTCTTTGTTTTAAAGCAAGGGAAAATTTTGAGAAAAAGGAAAAATATTACAAATATTTCAATAAAAACTTAAATTTTAATATAAATTAAGATATTTGATGTATGTTACCGATCCATTAGGACTTGTTAAAGCTATAAAATTATTTCTTTAAATATTTCTAGAGGGGAGATTCAAATCTTGAACTTTTCAAGTCCTCAAACTCTCAATAATTATTAAATATTTTCGTCATTGAATGATAATTATTAAAAAGAAAAGAAAAGAAAAGAATTACTAGATGGTGATCGAGGAAGTCTTAACAAAGGGCAACAAAGTCAATGCCGTGGCCGTGAGCATATGGAGGTGGTTACTGCGGGTGGGTTATTTACTTTAGTCTTTATCATGAGTGACTGTGTGCTGGTTGGGGGTGGAAAGGAATGTTGAGACAAAGCAGTAATCCACAAGGCTGTGAATGAAATATGGAGGGGGCAGAGCAAAGTGAACCAAGACAAGGTGTGTGGACTTTACATTGAATTGTTTCATTTGAAGGTGCATGAGTTTAGATTGTTTTTCATTGGATGAAATGATCTTGTGATCCAATTCAACTTTTGTATGTTCTGGCTGAAATTTTTGGGGGCGGAGGTTTCTAAGAAGGGACGAGCAATTTCATATTCTTTCATGTCCCCCACGTGTTCGACGCTTTGCTCAAGTGGGGTTGTTGTGATTTTCATTTTTCTGATTTTGTTGTTTGGCTCAGGTGGGTGTCTTAAAATACACGTGTTCGACGCTTTGCTCAAGTGGGGTTGTTGTGATTTTCATTTTTCTGATTTTGTTGTTTGGCTCAGGTGGGTGTCTTAAAATACACGACAGGGATTTTTCTTCGCAGAAATTCACATAAAATTTTATACATATATTTAAAATTTAATAGT